AAAAAAAAAACGAAGCATTAACACGTTAGACTGCACCCCATAAACACAATCAAGCCTAGAAAAAAACAATGAACCACCCCTTTAATAAGTAAATTAGCTTGTTAAAGTATGTCTACAAAGTGCATCGAAACTCTAAATGAAAAAAAAAAGTTACAAAAAGAATACATTTCTGCTCCAGCTTGTGTACTCTTATGCTTAAAACTTGGCAGTGTGTACTACAAATATTGTTGCCTCTTATGATTAATTGCTTGTATTTTATTTGTCGCTCTGTCAAATGACTGAACATAAAATGAAAAAATTGAATTTGTTGCTATACTCTGTGCTGTAAACCTACATTTGTATTGCAAATATTTCATTCTCTCGCTTTGTTTCACACCTCTTGTCTCCCTCCATCACCGGCTCACTCACTGTCATGAAAATAGAATGATTGAAGAGGTAATGAATGATTAAGAGAGAGTGATGAGCTGAGAAGAGTGAATGACACAGAGAGAAAATCCTATATTTAAAAGCGAAGCATTCAGCCCAACAGTTTACATTCCAGTGCAGCTATTATCCAACAGGTGTCATCACCCTCATGCCCTTCAAAGCTTAGAAACAGATCCACACAACTAAACACACACATACACACACTAGTATCGGTCTATAGTCAAAGTTCTTATTAGTCCCTCATGTGTGCTATGAGAAGTATGACTTTGAAAAAAATTACTTTTGGAAGCTTACGTGTTAATTCTACCAGGAAGTCTCTAACATATCATTCATTCATTCTCAGTCAATCATGATAAAGTTTCCATTTTAAAGATCCTCAAACAAACTGTCATTTTGCTGCTGCCAATGGACAATTTGCATTCACTCGCCACCAACATGAGTCCTGCTGGTAGAATATAACAATCCAAACCTAACCCGATAACATTCATGATTCTTCTGAAAAGGTACTATTAAATAAAATGTGAAAAATATACATCATTACAAGTTCTTGAAACTTTTTAGCTTTTTAGATCTTTGTTTCATGGTCTCTCCCACTTTGGTCAAAAACAACATCAGACACAGGAACTGCACTGTAATTAGAAGCTGAATGGGTTCAGAAAGAGAAGTTCATTCATAGATATTACATTCAACACCGTTTTCATACCTACTGAGAAGGTACATACTCATGCAGTGAAACTGGCAACTTTCCCAGAGTAAATGTTGGACTAAAAAAACTGGTGTAAACCAGTTGATTAATCTTTGCTCAATCAAATAAAGTAACAAAAATAGTAAAATTCCTCTTCGTACATGTAAGCATGAATATAAATATATATATATTTCAGAATTTCTTTTTATTGATTATTGGAAATATACTGACCTATTTAATCTTAAACTTTTTCCTTATTTTTACATTTTCTTTGCTGTCATCTATCACTCAGTGAAAATAAATCTTTAAAAACACTAATAATTAAATAACACTGTTAAATGTAATCTTTACCAAAATGTAAATGAATATTTTCATACAGTACATAATATAATGTACAATGCTATAATGCCTAAATTTCCCTGCAGCATTTAACATGATTAATTTTGGTTTTGAGTGTTATGTTTGTATTGTTGGTATTTTAGTAATTTAGCACTTTAATTTATTTAGAAAAAAAACAGTACTTAAATATTAGCCATTTATATTAACATAAAAGTAACAAACGAATAGAGGAACAAAATTTACAGTATGTTAAGGCATGTATGTGAGGCAATATGGCACAGGTAGGTTACATGTCTTTTTCTATTAAATGGGCAGAAATTGTATGTTTTGTATGTTTTCTCTAACCAATCCACCAAACGGCTGTTGAGGAGGAGAAGCCATGAAACTGTGCAATGATTTACTGTCCCGGCAAGTAAGAGAACAATCAGTTCAGACTGTAATATTTTGCCCCTTTCAATATTACCTGAATGAAGATAATGATAGATGTACTGCATCTAAATCTTTTCAAAAGAGATGCAGGCAGAATGTCTAAACATAAATAAGCATACCAATGATATATTGCCAAAATGTCTATTATCAAATCTCCAGTGTTTACACTGATTGAAAGAGAATATGAGAAAATCGAGCATTTCCTCGAGCCTGTACTGCCAAGAGAATCAACGGCCGCCTCTTCATGCCATATCCTAATAGCTGGCATTCTCTACACAGCATCACTTGTGTGATCTGTATACAGTACCTATTGGAAATTGGACATTTATAACCCACTGCCAACAAATCAGTGCCTCTAAAAGTTTATTTGTATTTATAAATCAGTCCTATTACATAACTGAGACAGGTAGCAAGACTGAATCTGCAGAAGAGGAGAAAGCAAAGTGCATAAAGGCACGATCACTGCAAAAGAGGCAGTGCATCAACATCATCCTGCCCAAGCTGAGCGCATTTTTTCCCGGTGTGATTTATCTGTTTGTGCCGCTGGCCGCAGCGCCAGTTCAGAACACAAGAAGAGCATCGACATGCAGTACGTCAAGACCAACATCCCTCGCCGTGGAGTAGGAAAGTGGTTTGTTTAAATAAAACTTTGAGAATCGATATGATAAAACCTCAAGAGTAAATTACACATTGATTATTTGAGGTGATATGCTCCACTTTAATGCGGAGCAAAGATCCTTACTCATTTTCTTAGTGTTCACCTTGAAGCAGTGGTCTTGGGCCTATAGAATCAAGCACTTCCTCTCTTAGATCACAATGTGGCATTCACTAGAAGTCACGCAGCTCGAGGAGAAGAGGTGTTTCATGTTATTTAGAGTTATTGTGTTCTTCAAAAAGTCTGTGCTTGAAATAGGTCAAGCATTGCTTTAAATTGTAAGCAGTTTCCTTCCTGACATGTAACAAAGCTTTTCAAAAAGGCCTTTATTTTTACCACACCCGTGACAGACATTGCAATACACGTCAACCTTCACATGTTTCACACATAATGAAAGAGGTGGGAAAAAGCAGTAAAGAAAAAAGTAAGGCATTGAATACATTTTAAAATGGTCTTCATTTGTCAATATCAGACCCGTCAGAGTGGACAAATAGACTGGCTGAGTCTATGCATCATCTCTCATATTGCCTCTAGAGACAGATGAGCATCTCTGATCTGCACACCTGCTATGCGATGCAGAACGAGCTTTCACTCTCCTACTGTGAAATGTGGAAAATTGGTGTTCAGCGATTTCAAATTATGATTAAAGATCATGAGCGAAGGAACGATTTGAAATGTAAAGGGGATACATTAAGGCATGGGCATCGCTCTAAAAGTGAACATTTCTAAGCCCAACGTATTCATCTAAATAATATAAAATACCAAGACTGAGAGCATACTGTAATTCGGACCTCAAAAACGACACCAAATACACATATAAAGCGAATAAGCGAACTAGAAAAAGATCATATTTAAATCTCTCTTCTTTTGCTCTTAGAAAGCAGACAATCCTGTGTATCTAGGCCTACTGGATGCCAATTCAACCCAAATTAAGAAAGAAAACATGCAAGCAACAGTTCAGACCAAACCGATGAACCGGACTTATTTCTAGAATGACCTACCCGCACACTATCCTCCTATAATGTATATTTTAGGGGTTGAGGTAGGCTTGTGGGTTAGTTCCATCTCACAACCATGGTGTATATCAAAAACAGGACAAGAAGTGCAACTCCTGTTTTCAGCACATTTATACAGTGCCTGATGAAATAATCATGTTGTAATTTTTAAGATAAGTGTTTAAACTGCTGGTGGGTCATCTTTTGCAGCATCTCATGTATGTCAGATTTGCAGCGCCGCGAACAAACCAATATGCCAAACTTAAGGAGTGGAATGGAAGAATAGAATGTGTTTGCTGTTTTTTTTTTTTTACTTTACCGTACCCTAAATGAGTAAAACACACACAAGGCAGCAAATATAGTTCAAATATGATAAACTACAGTATGGTCAGAGAATATTACACATAAAAAGCATATATAAAAAACTACAGGTTATACTTTTCCAAGTTATGATGGGGAAACCAAGACCCTCCTTCTATTTCCCCTTAATGTGCTTGTAATAAAATCAATGAACTGAAAAATATGATAAATGTCAAGGCACATTCATCATGACGGGGCAGAATGTGTTTGCTGTTTTTTTTTTTATTTTTTTTTTTTACTTTACCGTACCCTAAATGTTTTCATTAAAACACACAAGCTAATATACAATGGTCATAGAATTTACCATTAAAAAACTATTAGGTTATAGCTACTTTTCCAAGTTATGTTGGGGTAACCAAGACCCTTCTTCTTTTTCCCCTTAATGTGCTTGTATTAAAATGAATGAACTGAAAAATATGATAAATGTCAAGGCACATTCATCATGACGGGGCAATACTGCTTGTCTGAAGCAATGAGCTCTCACGAGGCATTTCACTGAAGTTTCATCCATTTTCAGGATGCCAGAGCAATATTGCCTATTTTGACAGCAAAGTAAACATGACTTAGTAGCAATGCTTTATCACAGAGCTCGGCGAAAAACGACCAAAAAAAGAAAGCTTTGAAATTCAACATAGTTCCCTCTACAATATCTCCGTCATACTTTTTATACACTTCAACATTCCCGCAAGATAAATTAATTTCAGCCGGTATTTGATAACACAGATATAAATAATGTGTTCGTCTGACAGCATGTCATTCGCGCATCCAAACTTATCCTTCTTTCGGTTTGGTCAAACACCTGCCGTTTCAATCTAAACCGACAGTCATGATAAAAGTGTCGTGAATGAAAAAGCGCTTACCGCTACCGTTTCGTTTACGAGTCTCTCCGTGGTCCTCTGAGCCCAACATTACTGGCGTAGGCTACTTGTCGCTCTCCGGTGTTTCCGCGCTGAACTGAACTGATCCTGAGCACCTCGCGCAGCTCAATGGTCACCGGTGCGTCACAAACCCACGGCTTTCTCCAGCGAAGCTCGTGTCACTCACACTAGCGGCGCGCGTGAAAGCTCCCCTCAGAGGAACTTTCCAGACTCTCCTTCTTTCTTAAAAACTATCACACAAGATTTGCAACTAGTGCCGTGGTATTCGTTGGTCTTCTAAAATGAGGAGGCAAAATTCCCCTTCTTCCGTTTTTTTTGCCCATTATAAATTCATGTTCCAGTTCCACTTTATGTTTCTGAATTAACGGCTTATGTAGCTAATTTATCCACAAGCAACCGATGCTATGTATAGATTGTTTTTTATACATTAATATACTATGAAAAAAGGTTTTATATAAGTCTCAAGTTTAAGCGGTTTTAACAAGTGCTTGGCTATATGATCACCTAACCCTAACGCTTTTTTTGGACCATTAGTCAATAAAGCAGCCTTCACGCGCTTGTCGGAAGACACGTCGATTCTGTGGTCGTAATTATGTCAAGTTCAAGTAGTGGTCAGGCAGAACAGCGAGGGTTTGTCACTCCATTCACTTTCCTCCATGTAAAAATTACAATATGTGTATATTGTATTGTTAATGATTTGAGGGGGAGTTCATGTGCAACTTCTAAGGCAGTTACTGCATTTAGCTACAATAATTTAGAGAGCACCTGAATTAAGTATAGAGAATGGGAATCTGTCATTGCACACTGCATTCTGGGTAGTCGCCGCCATGTTTTAGGACACCTTAAGTAGCTTACAATGACAACAAATGCAAATCACCAGAGGAAAAGCTATATTTGCATTAAAGGGTTAGTTCACCCAAAAATGAAAATTACAAAGTCCTCCTGTAGCGAATCGATGCATTTTTGTAAGAAAAATACATCGATTCGCTACAGGAGGCCTTCGTTCACCCTCCGGAGCTGTGTGAGACACTTTTTTTTAATGGATGGGCGCTTTTTATTTAACTTCTTTTGGACTGATGCATGCAACACCCGCTGAGTGCCATGAAACAGCTTGGCATTAAACAGCTTGAAAGATCAAAGACCATTTTTAATATAACTCCGATTGGATTCGTCCGAAAGAAGAAAGTCATATACACCTAGGATGACGAATTAAAACTTAATTTTTGATTAGTAATATGCATTGCTAAGAATTAATTTGGACAACTTTAAAGGCGATTTTCTCAATAGTTTGATTTTATTTGCACCCTCAGATTACAGATTTTCAAATAGTTGTATCTCGGCCAAATATTGTCCTATCCTAACAAACCATACATCAATGGAAAGCTTATTTATTCAGCTTTCAGATGATGTATAAATCTCAATTTCGAAAAAATTGACTCTTATGACTGGTTTTGTGGTCTAGGGTCACATATTTGAATCCCTTGTATTGCGTTGCTGACGTCACATTCCCATTCTTTATAACTTATTGGTAAACGCCACAGGCGTCATGAAGGCCTCATAACTTGTAATTTAAATGGTCTGAGTGATAACTTAAACCAGGACGTAATGTGGTAATATTCAAGTTGGTGAGTTTAATTATTCCATCCATTTTCACTAGTAACTGTTGCTCACACAATTGTTGGGAATTATAACATTGACAGGGTACGCAGCCAATCACAGTGATATGGCAGCCTGGTCTCATGTTTATACGTAGGTATTAATACGTAACATTTACAAGCACAAAACGTAAATTTTTGGTGATAATACTGTATATCATGATAAAAGCTTTAGCAATTATAGCAACATGAAATTTCAGCCTGGTCTCATGTTTATATATAGGTATTAATATGTAACATTTACAAGCCCAAAACGTACATTTTTGTACGTTTTTTATTGATGCTAAAACGTACAATTTTGATGTATTTCAACGTTTAAAACGTACAAATCGCTATGTATTTTTAGCTAAAAAATGTACAAATATTACATATCTTTTATATCATTAAGATATTCGTATCAGTGCATTTTTATAATTTTATCAATAAGCGATTTAGATTTTTAGACCCCTTAACCTATCCCCACACCTAAACCTACCCATTTTTAGCGAATATGCATTTTTATCATTTTATCAATAAGTGATTTATATTTTTAGACCCCTTAACCTACCTCTAAACCTTAACCTACCTATTTTATAGGGAACATAAAAGGATATAAAACACAATTAACCGAAATATGCAGGAAAATAACCATTTTAGTAACAATATAGCATTACAAATATTTTTATAGTCGCTAATCCCACTCCTACCTCTAAACTTAAACATAACTATTTCTGTACAGTTTAAGAAAAACATGACAGATAAATGCAATTACAATCATTTATTTATTGAAAAAAAATGTCAAAAGCAGTACCAAACGTAATCCAAATGATGATGCGTTGCAGTCGCAGTACTCTTTGGCAGAATACAGAAGGTTTGTGAGGTGCAGAGTTGTTAATCGCTGAAAATATTATCCAGATTATTTTCCAGATCCACTCCGTGAAGGCGCGCGCACGCATCATTAAAACACACCTCACCAGAAACACTGCTTGTCGCAATCTGTGAAGAATGCAGGCGAGCATAGATATATATACATAGATGCCTCATTAGCACTGTATTTGATGTATTGCACCGTATTTTATGCAACCCGAAATGGTTGCACTGTATTTTATGTATAATCATAAATTTATTTTAAATCAATTTTTAAATCATTTTCAAAGTTTTTAAATTCCTTGTTTTATTTTTGTGATAATTTTTTATGATTATTTTACTTTCTTTTATGTAAAGCACTTTGAATTACCATTGTGTACGAAATGTGCTATATAAAGTGCCTGTAAAAACGTAAGTAAATGTACGTTTTATAGAACCACATGTTACGTAAAATACATACGAATTATCATGAGATCACGTTGGATATGGAGGCGCTGCCTCATCTCAAGTGATTTGTCACCTTTATTTCACTCAATGGAGGCAAAAACATTAGTAACTATGAAGAACAAGACCATATAGTTTTTTGATTAATAATACATTTATAATGGCTAAGCCATGTTTGAGGTATACAGTACAGTCTTTATAATGGCATGCACCATATATTCTAGATTGGATGTAATTTTGACAACTCACAACTGTTTTATGGAGTTTTTGTCTACAGAAAGTGTTTTGGAAGATGTTTTCTTAGTTAAACATTTCACATACAAAGTTCTGGCATGAAACTCTAGATGGCACAATTGAGGTCTGACTCAATTTGACATAATAACATCATTATCACATGGCACAGCTGATTGTTTATCTCTTGTATCGGTAGCCAATGAGCTCGCAATCAACATTCAAATATACGACTAATGCTTGTGGTAGCAGTTGCAGCATGCTTTAAAAGAAACCCTCCATCTTCCCCAGCTCCACCTGTATAGATCTGCTAAGGGGTAATTTATGTATGCTACTGTATATGGGGGTTATTTGTTATATGTGCAGCAGCAGTATTTCTTGCATGCTCACAGCAGCATGTTGTGGATGTATTGGCAGTAGCAAGTCTCGGTACTTCTGCCGCAGCAGCAGCAGCTTAGCAGCTTAGCAGATCTATTCCACCAAGACCAAATACATTAACATTGTCATGTACATTACCATGCCAAACCCTCCGAGAGTTGTCATGACAGAAATATTGTTAAACAACATACAACTGTAAGGCCCAGCTTGGAAGAACTCTCCCTGATTGCAATGACTCTCCCAACCTCTAGTTGGCACTAACTAGTAACACTCCCCATCATTTCGCTTACACTGGTTCTATGCAATAACACTCCTAGCCACTAGGTGGCCCTAGCTTCTGTTGATAGATAACATCACTACTCATTAGGACTTGAATGCCCCCAGCCGTGTGTCTTTACCCAATTAATGTTGGCCTATTTAAGCGTGCCCCATTTGTTCACCTGTGTTCAGTCTTGAGCCTACTACGCCTGTGTTTCCTCACCACCTAAGCTAGTTTATTGAGATTTTGGATTTTGCCTTTTGCTCGTCTTTTATTTTTTGCATTTTTCTATGGAAGCACGGCTCCCTTTTTTGTTGTACTTTTGAACTTGGACTTCTCCAGTAAAGCTTTTGTTCAGTTATCTAAGTCTCTCTGTTATTCTTCTGCCCTTGGACCCCTCTGTCGACTGTCATCCACTATAGCACAGTGGTAGAGGAGACAGCTCGGTTGCCTAGCGGGCCCGAGTTCGATTCCCGCCTCAGACACCCATCACAACAACCCATTTAACACACTGAACTTTTATCTCTCACATCCTCATTCTAGTCAAAACTGAAATATAGTGCTACCCTAAGATCTAAAATAAGCTTTACCAAAGTATTTTTGTACTGTTGATTTTTTTTTCTTATCCAAAACGAGGAGGCACTCCCTCCAGGAAAATATCAATGTTACAGCAACCTGTTCTTAAATGAAATTATCAATATAATACAAAAATGGGAGATACACACATTGTAAGCACAGTTAGCACACAGTTTCATTTTAAGTTTCACAATTGTAACGTTTAAAGATAAGACTGAATTAGCCAAATAAATACATAAATAAATAAACAAGGCAGGACTATTAATTATGACCCATCAAACGTGTCACTACTTCAGAATGACACCTCCTCCTGAGCAGAGTTGGCTATGCCAAACGTCCCACATGCTGACCGGTTGGCAGTTGTAAATTATGCTATGCATTCAATGTAAGCCCTATCAACACACCCTAATGCGCCTGGCATTGATATGGCAGGGTTACCTCAAAGCTCCCACCTCAAGGACAGCAAGATAAGCCCGAAGAGTGTCGATTACATGAACTATCCCCACACATCTATAAAGGGCTTCCCCTGCACCAACTGCTGCAATGAGCTGCATGTGTGCCACTGTTTTGTCCGTGTTTAATGACCGCAGTGACAACAGTTTCAAACTGAGCTGCTGAAAATGATAGTTGTCACGACTGCTATAATCACCAACATGTCAATGTTGTCATTAATTAG